TTTCGTCCGCCCTGCTCTCAAGTTGTTTGGTGCCGTCGTTTACCTCACAAGCAGCTATTTTGTTCCTGTCATCACGTCACTAGTCTTGTGTCATGCAGTGCCTTTCATGTCGGGTCTGATGGCACGATCCACAGCTGCTCTGAGTTTCTTCGTGCCGAGGTCGAGGCTGCAGGCAGCGGGCAGCACTGGCCCCAGAGCTTGCAGACTGGAGACCGCAGTGGACTGCCAGGTCTCGTGTCTGGCTCGCAGGGACCTTGCCGGCCAAACGATGTCACCGGGTGATCCATATCTTGGGTGTGACAGAGTAATGAGGCCCACACCGACAATGATGGCAAGCTCTAGAGCAGAGGAAGCTGCGAACAAGGAAGCCTGATCGACCATGTCCTCAACTGGTGTGGAAAAAGGTCAGCCTTGTGCGGATTGAAGGACATTTCCGAACCCGGATTAGCTCTCTTTGTGTGGAGCTTATAATGCAGCACAAACTGCAATCTGCTGGGACCGGCCGACATTGTTTCCCAGGGACCTGTTCACCCTGTCCTGGCGGCCTTGACCCCGGCCGTTCAGGCGCGGCGATGACGAAACCAAAGCCATCCAAAGCCTCCAAACAAAAGCAAAGGAAAAATCCGAAGAGAACCTCACTCCTCCTCCCCCTCCCCCTCCTGCTCCTCCTCCTCCTCCTCCTCCTGGCTCTGCAGCTTAGGGCGCGTGTCACGCATGCTCCGCGGACGCGTTCGCTGGCTTCCTGCGCCAGGACCGGCTCTTCGCCTGCAGCTCCGGGCTCTCGCGGAAACACCTCGAGGCGCGCGTTGAAATGGATCCCTGTTGGGATTTGTCTGGGAGGGCTTCCTCTGAGTGAAGGCTCAGACAGAGCAGCTGCGCGGCTTGTGCGAGCAGCTCGCGGCCTCAACACGCGAGGAGCCTGCCGCCCTGACTTTCTGCCGAATGGAAGCAGGCGTGCATAGCAGTGCCTTGATGTGCGCTTAAGCTGAGGCAGTTCGTAGTGCAAGAGCCCTGAGCTTGGAGCTGTGCAGTGCCAACATGTGACTTTGTTGCTGACAGACACTGGGCGTGCTGCTTTTGCAGGTTGGAGAATGAAGCAGGCACAAGAGCTGCCGCGTATGGAGCGCATGGTGTTCGCCTTTGATACCTCAGCGCTGGCATTTCTGGGCACTGTCTGCGAAGCATAGGTGCTCATTCACAAAGCTTGAATGCTGACCAGGCCGCCTCTTGCGAGCCTAGCCGGAATGCCTACCATGCCTACCCTCTCCTGGCAAGGCCCTTCAGAAGCTTTGCCTAAAGCTGCAAGCGCAGCAGCACGATCTGCGATGCTGAAGCCCTGGTTTCGCCTACGAATGCACGGAAGACTGCTCGGCTCAGCAAAGGCCATGAGGAAATCAAGGATGAGCAGCATCGCGAGATCGAGGCCTTGCACTGATATTTCAGTCCAATTTCATGTGCCAGGGGCCCTAGCAGAAATTCCATTACTTGTGCGAGGCTCTTGTCTCCCGAAGAGATTTCGAAGAAGCCGAGGTGCCTCCAGAATGTCTTGCACGGTGCTGGGAGATGGACAGCAGTGTATTATTGGTTTTCAAGTAAATCACTTCAGGCAGACGAGGCATGCTGGGCACCTGGTATCGTACAGCGATTGAGACATATCATTGAAGGAAACGTTGTTTTTCCTCTGCGCAGAAGAGGTCGTCAGGCCACCGACCTCAACGTGGACATCCGAAGCTGCCGGAGGACTTGCGGCTCGAAGCTGAGGGTTTTACCCAACCAGCACGTCAAAACTACGGCATCAGTTTCTTGAGCAAAGGTAGCCTGGAGAGTGAGATTGAGTCGGAGGAGGCTCGCGCGGCGGCACTTCGCGAGGCACGGAGTTAATTTCCTGCAGCTTCCATTCTCGGCACAGATGTAATTCTGCACCACAGCCTCAGCAAAGGCAACTATGCAACCGAGGAATTGTGGGGAAATGGCTGACCAGCATGATCGTGTGAGGCTTTTGAGGGCAGACGCTCTCGCTTTGCCACCGCGGAAGCAGCTGCCAGGAATGCCGAGTTTCTCGGCCGACATTTCTGAACGGAATCCGTGGCTAGCGGCATCGGCACATGGGCACGTGCTGAGGATCAGCACCATGAGGGCGACGAGGCGCCGAATCGCCGCAGAAGTGGCGGCCCGCAGGGCTCCCGGACGCGCGGATACCGCCCTGCTGTGCTTTGCTGTGCTGGCACAGCGAGATGCCACAACCCAGGTCGCGAAGCCGAAGCCGTCGTAGAGGCCGAGCAGCTTCGCGAGGAGCAGCTCTCCAAGACCGCCTTGCACTGCGAGGCGCGAGGTCCTGAGGCGTCACGGCTGTCACAGCCCCATCTGAGACATGCCATGGTCGCACAGCTCGCATGATGTCGAAGACTTCGGGAAAAGTGCATGTCTTACCACAGCTTAAAGACTCGGCTGTGGTCATCTTGCAGTCACCATCGTGGAGGCGATAAGTTCCGAGATCGCTGAAGCTCGGGCATATGCAGTACTGCAGGCAGGTGTTCTGTGTCATTGTGCGGAGCGATGAACCTGCTTCTCAGGCAGTCTCGGAGGGACCAAGTCGACGCATTGTGGACCCAGCAATTCTCAAGGCGTCTGGCTTCAGTCTGTACTGTTGACGGCACATCTCAGTCCTTTATCATGACGTGGGCCCACATGAAGCATTTGTTTGTGGCAGCACCTTAGATGGGCTGCTGCTTATAGTTTCTGCCGCCTGCCTGTTCTCGTCGTTCTGGCACGGCTTCAGGCAGAGCTGGGAACAAGCCTGCGGCGCGAAATCGATGAGGCGATCAAGGGTCTGGCCGTGTCATGAGCTCCAGATATTAATTCCGTGAAGGCTGAACGTGCCAACCGTGCGGAGGCAGGGCGCACACAGGGCTTCACAAATGTCACAGTGCATTCGTGTTTTTTCTTCGTCAAGGTTGCAGAAGTTGAGCAGTTCCATCGAGAAGCTTCAGAACTTGAGGAAACCGGCATGCCACTTCTGTCACGTGCGCAGCTGCACGGCTGAAGTCCCTCGTACCTCCGCAAATGCCCCAGCGCAAGGCCAAGCTGGACTCCTTGCATCAGCACGTCGCTGCTAGCATGCACTTGGGATAGTCTTGGGACACAGGCCTAATTCGGCTTACAAGCGTCTGACATGATTGTAGATGTAACATATGTCCTGACCGGACGACTTTCTTCCTTAAGCCATCCTTGTCGAGCACAGATTTCAGGCTACACGTGAAAGCGAATTGCATGCCATGCAGCGACGGCTTCTCAGAGAAAGGTTCTGCGCCTACCTTCCGGTCCTGACTCGAATAGGTGTAGCCACCACCGGTCCTTGCTGAATCTAAGGTCTGTTGTCGGAACCTGAGAGAGGGAGCGACGGGAGCAAGAGGGAGAAAGAGAGAGGCCATTGGCATTTGGCAACAGCCTGCATCGTCGGTTAAGAGTTGTCAGGATGCTAGAACACCGACGCGAGGCGAGGTGGTCACGCCTTCTGAGGACTCGTGAGACGATAGTTTACGTGCACACCTTCCTCTTTCGCTGCACTACGAAGCGAATGTTTTGGTTCACCGACTGCTACACACCAAGGTCCTTTCACGTATTTTCACGATGCAGTTCAAACAGCCACGTCTTTTGCAGCGACTTCGTCCGGAAGAGGGTTTAAATAGGCATTGTGCTACTGGTTTGGGTGCGGAGGGCCTTGTTGACACTAGGGACATCTGGGACGGAATAATCATTCCCGCTCGTTTTCCGCTCGTGACGCCCAACCTTCAGAACCGCATGTTTCTTGAAGACTAATTGCCTCGCGGATGTGTCAACCTTTGTCTGCCGTGCAGGACCAGAAGTCGGCGTCAGCTGCAGTTCTGGAGGCCCTCAAAATCCCCAGCTCTCCCGATGGCCGTGGATCTGAACTCGTGATCAGGGTGGCTGAGGCTATAGCTCTCCCATAGCATGGCTTTTCTGTGCAGTGCACGCATCTTCACCACCCGGACGGCGTGAAATTTCACAGCTGCAGAATCGGGCATGACGTCGGATTGGCAGGCCATGGAGAGACGGGTGGCAGAAGGCCTCCTCCGCGGGAGGCTGAGGGCCCTTTCTGTGGTCCGACCTGACAGGCCGGCAGCGTGAACAGGTGCTGGACTCAGGCCAGGGATCGTGGGGCGGAGTTTCGGCAAGGCTGCACGCGCTGACGCGCTGTCTTAGCTTTGTTCACTTGCTGCGTGAAGAGACATCCAACTTGTCACCCAGACCTAGATGCCAGAAGTGGAGCTGCTGTGGGCTGTGGTTCTGATGTAATGGTAGTCCATACAGCTACAAAAGCTACGTGGGCGGGTGCATGGTGCAGCTGGCACTCGCAGCAGCAGCAGCAGCAGCAGCAGAAAGTCCGGTTGAAGCAGCAAGGCTCACAAAGCGAACCTATGAGCAGCTTTCCGGCTGAGGCCCTGCGCGATGAGTTGAGTCAAGTCCTTGCATGCAGGCTTGGACACTGCAAAAGCTCCGGCGTGTCATGTCACATGTTGGTAAGCTTTGCCGCCTAGCCATCCGAGGTCACTGAGCAGTGCCCGGGCTGCTAACGAATACAAGGACATGGGGCGGGATCACAAATTCACATAGTGACAAAGAACTGTGAGGTAAGTTCCCACAGATCAAGGACACCTTGACATGGCTGAGATCGGAAGTGAGAAGGTAGAGGGTTTTGTCAAAATAAGCTTGTGGAAAGATCAGTGGTCCGAGGCACGAAACACAGTCAAGGGCTGAAGCAACGTGGCGGATCCTCGGCACAGGTCGGCTGCAAGACTCTCGCTGGAAGTACAGTCTTGAGCTCCGCAAAAATGCGCCAACACTATCCACATCACTCAAGCACACTCAGGCGAACCCAAACCATGCGTCGGTTCAAGGTGTTCATGCAGAATGCGCCACTCCCGTATTCCAACGTATTCCGAATGAATCCGTGGGCTCTCTCCCAGCCTGGGACGAAGCATGTCCAAGCGCAGAGTTCGGTTGTCCATGTAGTACATGTAGCCAGTATTATTAATCCGCAGCCTGGCCGTGGCAGCCGGCCGTACCAGCCAAGCGCAGGCAACGTCTCTCTTAAATTTGCATTTGTATACGTATATGTATATGTATATGGATATGT